CTCAGCCCTGATTTGAAACAAAACTTGCAAGTTTGGTTCCGCTCTAAACTGAAAGCCACACCGCCAGGCAAGAAGGGGAATAGGGGTGCAATTTGGGCGTTGGTGTTACCTCATCTATGTCCCAATCGCGCCCGAAAAACATGTCTAGTAAGACGGAAAATGCGTAGCCTGATCAGCCCTGTCTTGAAACAAAACTCACAAGTTTAGTTCCGCCGACTCTAAACTTAACGCCATGCCGCCAGGCGAGGAAAGCGATGCAGATGGTCAGGGTGTGATGTGAGTATGAAATCTCACGAGTGCCAGTCTAGGCGGTGTATGGCCGTCTAGGTGCCATTGAAAATGCTAGAGTGGCGCTCCAGCACCGAACCTTTCATTGGTAGCCAGAGACCAGAGGTGTGAAATTAGTTTGACCAATGCCTGCCACCCGGATCGTACGGCCAGCCAAGAAAAGAGTTCCTCGAATCGTTGTTACATGGCAGTGAGGGGTGGCATTGGTTGACTCTGCTCGTTACACCGATGGGTGGGGCTAAGAGTGAAAGCAAACGAGCCGTTCAAACGTTTCTGTTTTAATAGGTCAAGCAGTGGTCCTATGAAATGCAAGCACTGATGGCAAAGGATAATAAGTAGGACTGACGCATGTCATTATCAGAGAGGATAGCACTAGAGAGGCTTGAAGTTTTGACCACTGCTTGCCGACCGGACAAGCGACCGTTGATCTCACTGGTTGGACCTTTGAAAATCCCTTCCACCCCCATCTTAAATTCCCCTGTCTGAGACGGAAAATGTCTAAAGACTAAGTTACTAAAACTGAATATTTTTCTGATTTCGTCTTACATAGGAAGCGATAGTTTACAGCATCTTAGGTCGTGCGCTGGACATGTGGTCTCGTTTCAATGGTCACGATATAACATTACTATTAGCTTCCCGTGCAGATAAAGGAAAAATACAGCTTATTTAACTTAAAAGACAATATTTTGAATGTACAGTTGTTTAATATGATACAAATTTTAAAACCCTGAAAGCTTTAAGCAGGATCAATCCTTCTGGATGAATGCTAGAGTGGACTCGCATCACAGACACTGAACGAAGACTGGAGGCGGTTAAAATGAAGTGTATAAGTCTTAGTACACTGTTCAGAAGGTCTTCACAGGGAAGAAAACAAACACAGGCATACGCAAAATACCAGGATAAAAAAAAGGTGAAATGGTATATGTTTAACTCCCCTATCAACTAGGTTATTTAAGAATGTTCATCTGCGAAAGGACCGAGCCAAATGGGAAATTCATGTAAAGTACCTTTTCCAAAGACACAACGTCGGATATCAGGATATGAAAGGTCTCTAATCTGAACCTTCCGGAAGAAACAATTGGGATTTATTTTTTGGCTACGTGGAACAAAATAGGGAATTGAGAAGTTACTGCTGTGTGCAAAGGTGGAAGGGAGAAAAGAGCAGAGGAAGACTCAGAACAACATAATAGTTGAGCTGAACTGCTTGATGACAAACGGCAAAATCAAAAGAAAAAAAAAACTGAGCTGTTCAGGAGGACTCACGACAAGAATGAATGGAGTGCCATGATCGTCAACACATACTCTAGACACGATGCCCGAAGAAGAAAAATAGTTCTGGGTAAACATTATTTTTT